GTTCCTTTTTCCAATAGAAAAACATACGAGACGTTTGTCTAGTATGGAGGACTTTTGAACTACGAATTTTTGAATAAATCGTGCCGCGAAAGCAAGAGTCGCCCTTAAACTCAAAGGAAAAACTCCAAATTTTGAGTTTCAGTTTAGTTTGCAAGTAATCCGTTTAAGAAACTTTTTTGCTCTATTGGAAACTATTCAAAATGTTTTCGTAGCTTAAAAAGCATCTGAGGTACGAACGTTTGAAAAAAAGTCTGTAGAAGCCAAAAATCGCCATAAACATAAGGCAAAATTTCGGAAAATGTCGCATAGAATTCGACGTATTATAAGCAATATTTTCATAAAATACGTTCTTTTTCTCTATTGAAAAATATGCAGCACGTTTTTATACTTTGGATGATTTTTCAGCTACTAGTTTTTAAACACAGCGTGTTGCAAAGACAAAAGTCGCCTTTAAACTCAAAGGAAAAACTCTAAATTTTGACTTTCAGTTTAGTTTATAAGTTTTTCCTTAAACGAACTTTTTTGCTCTATTGAAAACTATACACCACGTTTTCCTAGGTTAGAGAGCTTCTGAGCTATGAATTTTTGAAAAAAAAACATCTGTAGAAGGGAAAAATCGCCCTTAACCTAAAAATTAGGCAAAATCTCGAAAAGTCTGGAATCTAATTTGGCTTTCAGTTGTCTGATTAAGAAAAACGCTCATTTTCTTTATAGAAAAAAATACATGGCGATTGTCTAGTTTGGAGGATTTTTGAGCTGCGAATTTCTAAGCAAAGCGTGTAGCAAACGCAAAAGTCGCCTTAAAATCAAAGGAAAAACTCGAAAATTTCAAGGAGCGTTTACGTGGTCAGTTTCCCAGTAAAGAAACTCTTTTTCTCTATTGACAAGTATACAGGGCCTTTTCTTAACTTGGAGAGCTTCAGAACTGTAAATTTTTGAAGAAAGCGGGTGTAAAAGACGAAAATCGCTCTTAAAAATAAGGGAAACTCTCGTAAAATTTCAAATTGACTTTGACTTGAAATGTTCTCCTAATAAAGTTTTTTTTTCACTATAGAAAAGTATACAAGGCGAACGAAGATTTTTTATTAACGAATTTTTAAACACAGCGTGGCCGGAGAGCAAAAGTCGCCTTTAAACTCAAAGTAAAAAAACTGAAAAATTTGAGTTTGCGTTTAGCATGCCAGTTTCCCGTGAAAGAAAAATTTTCTCTCTATTCAAAAGTATTTAGAGCGTTTCCTTCGCTTGAATGGGTGCGGGGAAGGCAAAATCACCCCTAAAAATAAAGGAAAATCTCGGAAAATCTGGACTTGAGCTTGGTTTGCAATTGGCTCCGAATAAAAAACATCTTCTCCTCCATCGAAAAGTGAGCGTTTTTCTAGTTTGCAGGATTTTTGAGCAAAGCGAGTCTAAAAGAGAAAACTGGCCCTAAACTAACTCAAACTAGGCAAACTCTTCTAGAACTGTTAGATGTAGAAATTCACCTTCAAATGGCATGTACAGGTCCCAGCCAGTTTGGGTCCAGGATTTCCAGTCTTTGGCGAAGCAGGAACGCGCTGCTGATGGTTGTGGTGAACATGGCCAGTCTGCAGATGCGAATTGCCCAACGCCATCACATGATGAGGCGAAGATTTCGGCACACAGTGAGGATGATGATGATCAGTCTTTGGAGATTCAGGTCGGTCGGCGCACTGGAACATTCTCCCATTAGAACCATGCAGTCTGGAATATTCCAAAGGGCCTACTTCACGACAACACGTGCAAGTATGGGCATGCGACAGCAGCCCATGATCGCTGGCTTCACTCGATTGATAGTGATGTTCCATGTTGGGAGGGTCCTGAGGAGGCGAAGACATGCTAATGAAGACAACTTGAGCTACATTCCTTTCTACTCGAAGGAGACGACGGCTTCAATCTGGAAGTTTTCGCGAGATATAAGAGATTTTAGGGAAATTTTAGCCTGCCAAACCTTTCTAAGTTAGTTAAAGGCAACGGAGTACAGGGTCTAGTCGCCCATTCATCGAATAAATCAGATAAAAGGTACGAAAATGGGCAATTATAAGTGCAGGTAGCACGATGCCAGACAATACAGGGCCAGTGGCAAGCGGTTTTCTTCAAATATCGGCCCGGTTCTTCATCTTCAGTTGCTTTGGTCATTGATGTTTTTGACACGGTTTTATTTACGGTATGGATTACTGGAATGTGGGCGTTTAAGAAAAACCGGTCGACTGTCGATGGCCATTACCAGATTCCCACGTTCTTCGTGCTGCTAAACTAGTTGCCCGCAACCAAATAGACCAAAGCGCCCATAATGTGAGTTACAACTTCCCGGCTGATGCGTGTAGCTCACATTCGAATTATATTGCGCGAAACAAGTTGCTACCGGTTTTTGCATTATCGTTTATCAGGATTTCCCGTGGATTATGAGCAGGAAATCTGCTGTTGTCTTTTATTACACATTGTGTGAACCTGCAGGCGGCCGGAGGTGGTTTAGATGGTTTATTCATGAATCAATTAGACATTCAATCTTCGGATACAAGGCAGCTTGCCAACCTTTGCAGAATATTGGTGCAAAAAACATTTTTTTGGCAATAAATTTTCCAGATAAAGAAAGACGGATTGATGAATAAAGACCCTTAAGAACGGTGGCCCGCAAAAAAAATCAACCGCCGCTCGTATAGGTGTTGCATAGTAGGCCTGATTACTGAAAGAAGGTGGCAGCGGGGCAGGCCTATAAGCAAACTTTCGGGGGTTATAAACGAATGTTTTTGCAAACGTTCAGTTAGCTGCAGGGGAAATTTTTGATGAAACTGAAACCGTTTTTTGTCCTGAATTGACACTATATGCGCCTTTTTACTGCAGGATTTCGGCCTAATTCAACAAAAAGGATGAAAAAAGAATAACGAAAATTTGCCAAAATCTGCCTTAGTGGGCAGTTTAGGGGGAAAATACCAGAAGCGTTCTTATAGGGTTTCACCCTCTATTCCTTTATGTAGGGCTGGGCCAGGATTTGCTGCTTGATCGATTTTGCTTCAGGCGATTTTTTGTGATTTTTATGGTTTGAATGGTTTGATTTAAAACAAAATTCTGGGAGAATCTCAATCGGGTTTTGGGCATTGCCAAGCAAATTGATGAACCATTGGCTGACGCCACTCGCGTAGTTAGTAGGCAAGGTGTGGGGCTCTTAAGGAGCCGAATCATAACTCCATATTTGGCGAAAACTCTCCCGTCAGCCTCTTTAGCTCAGTGGTAGAGCACTGGTCTCGTAAACCAGGGGTCGTGAGTTCAATCCTCACAGGAGGCACAAGAAGTTTTTGCCATTTTATTGACGAAATGAAGAATGTTATCGAGAAGATCGTTTTAACATTCCCCATTCTACCTTGTTTATTACTAGTCCCATGTGGTTCTTTACACTATCTGGAGTTTTCTAGAAGATTTCTTAAGAACAACAGTTTCTTTTTTGGAGGACTGGAACACTGTTTAGCTCTTCACTTGGATGCAAAGTTTCGAATTAAATGGCATTTATCAGTATCCGAATAGAACAGATTGAAGGCGTCTAAATATGTAATCTGGTATGTTAATTTACGGTTTTAACGGTCATTTCAGCAAAGAAATTGATAAATATACGATGGTGGTACCAAGAACAGTTAGACCATGGCATTTAATGGGCGCAATTAGGCCTGAAATTGCCTCAGAAACTCGTGACCGTCATCTGCAGCATGTAGCTCGAAAAGTTTGGATTAAATTACGATTCACATTGATATTGATTGCTTAAAACAGCAGGTTTTCATGCTTGCAACACCCACAATGCTAAAGATTTTATGTAATTCTTCGCTGGTTCTTGGTGCAACGATTTCATGAGTGCAGGCCTAGATAATAGAAGTAAACTCTCGAATATAAAGTGTGCATAGAAAATTGGGCATTTGTTCCGCAAAAACAACTTTGTGTTGTTTTATCCAGCTGCGACTTTTGATATTTTGCTGTTTGGGTATTGAAGATTTGAAGAAAATGTGCCTAACGGTGAGCGTCTAATTAAAAACCGCTGGAAACTTTGGGAATGTTTTTAGATCGGGTTAATTTGAAATGTTCCTGCCAAAATGACTTCCGATCTTGCGAGGTTTCTGAGCAAATAATTTTTGAAGAAAACGCACCATAAAGGCCAAGGCCTGCTTCCAAAATTCTCTTGGAAATTTTTTCAATCAAGTTTGTTTCAATTTCGCCCAAAGTAAAACTCAATTTTGCTATTGAACTGTGCCAAGTCCGTTTTTCTATCTTCCATGTTTTCTGTGCGAGAATTATTGAAGAAAATGTGCCTTTTAAAGGCAAACGTTTGCTCTGAAACTGCTGAAAACTGTTGGAATTTTGTAGATCGTCATCATTTGCAATTTTTCAATCATTTAATGTGAGTTTTCTGAGTAAAAAATATGAACAAAATGTGCCTTTTAAAGGCAAAARTCTGCTTTAAAACTGTTGGAATTTTTTGGATCGTGATAATCTGYGATTTTTTAGTMAAAAAGATTCAATTTCWAAGCGCGGTTTTCCATCTTSCGGAGTTTCTGAGTGAAKGRTTTTTGAAGAAAACTCTTTATATGGGCGATATTCTGCTTTAAAACTGTTGAAAACTCTTGCGAGTTTTTTTAGATCGGCTGGATTTGCAATTTTTGAATCAAAGACTATTTTTGTGTGGTTTGGAACCATGTGGGTTTTATGCGTAAAAAATGAAGAAAATGTGTCTTTTAAAGGCACAAATCTGCTTTAAAACCGTTTAAGACTGTTGGAATTTTTTGGATCGTGATAATCTGCGATTTTTTAGGCAAAAAGATTCAWTTTCTAAGMGCGGTTTTCCATCTYGCGGAGTTTCTGAGTGAAGGATTTTTGACGAAAACTCTTTACATGGGCGATAGTCTGCTTTAAAACTGTTGAAAACTCTTGCAAKTTTTTTTAGAKCGACTSAATTAAMMATTTTTSAATCAAAARGACTCTATTTTTCAGTAGAACCATGTGKTTTGGAACCATGTGRGTTTTATGSGTAAAAAAATGAAGAAAAKSTGYYTTTTAAAGRCAAAAATCTGCTTTMGAASCGTTTAAAACTGTTGGAKTTTTTTGGATCGTGATAATCTGMGATTTTTTAGTCAAAAAKGTTCAATTTCTAAGCGCGRTTTTCCATCTCCATTTSCATSSAGTTWCTGAGTGAAGGATTTTTGAYGAAAACTCTTTATATGGGCGCTAGTCTGCTTTAAAACTGTTGAAAACTATTGCAAGTTTTTGTCGATTGAATTTGCAATTTTTGAATCAAAAAGATGTTTGTGTGTTTTGGAACTATGTAGGTTTTATGCGGAAAAAAGGGGAGAAAATGTGCCTTTTAAAGGCAAAAATCTGGTTTAAAACTGTTGGAATTTTTTGGATCGTGATAATCTGCGAATTTTTAGTCAAAAGATTTAATTTCTAAGAGCGGTTTTCCATCTTGCGGAGTTTCTGAGTGAAGGTTTTTTTTTAAAGATGTGGGCGATAGTCTGCTTTAAAACCGTTGAAAACTCTTGCAAATTTTTTAGATCAACTGAATTTGCAATTTTTGAATCAAAAAGACTGAATTTTTCTATTGGACAAAGTCAAATGCGTTTGAAACGTTGTGGGTTTTATGGGTAAAAAAATTAAAAAATGTGCTTTTTAAAAGCCAAAATCTGCTTTAAAACCGTTTAAAGCTGTTGGAATGTTTTGGATTGTGATAATCTGCGATTTTTTAGTAAAAAAGATTCAATTTCTAAGCGCCTTTAAACTTTCTAAACGGTTTTTACTACCTTGCGTGGTTTTTGAGTAAAGAATTCGTGAAGGAAACGTGAATTAAAGGTGAAATGCCTGCCTTAAAACTGCAAAAAACTGTTGCTTATTTTCCGATGCAGTTGATTAGCAAATTTCCAGCAAAAATTACTCAATTTTTCTATTGACCAGTGGTTGTGCTTTTGCTATTCTGTGAAGCTTCTCAGTAGCGAGTGTTTGAATAAAACACCCTTTGAAGGCGAAAGTACTTTCTAAAACTGCTGGAAACTCTTGGAATTTTTTTCACCGAGTTAGATAACAAATTTTCAATAAAAACTCTACTTCTCTATAGAAGGGAGTCAAAATCCTTAGCTACCTTGCGGGGTTTCTGAGTAAGCAAGTAAAAATAAGCGTATTTTGAAAGCAAAGAAGGGCTTTACCCTGCTGTTACAAGGTTTTCGATTACACCAGTTTCTAATGTTCCAGTGAAAAACACTTCATGTTCTTATATTGTCTTGTGCGACGTCTGAGCTATAAATTTTTGCAGAAAAGTGCCTTGCGTGAAAGCAAACGTCTGCGTTAAAGCTGGTGAAAATGCTGCCATTTGAGATTCGTTGTGCAACTTTCCTTTAAAAAAGAATCCGTTCTCCATCAACGAATGCAGGTTCAGAGTCCTCTGCACATTTTTAAGAGAATTTTTCGCTTAACTTTACATTTTAGAGGCCAAGTTACGAATCCCCTGAAACACGCCTTGCCCCAGACGAAACGTTATCAATTACCTAAAAGTGCGTGCATTCCTTCAAAGGTCACCTCATTGGGTGTCCGCACTATCACCACTAGACAAGGTTCATTCACACGAACACACCACATCCGCACTGCACTAAATACGGCCAAAACAGTACCACACTTGCACAAGAAGAACCACTGGTGTCCGTTAGGATGCACAAAACGGTAAAAATCCCTCGCTAGCCCTTTTGGCTTGTTGTTTTATCGTCCAACTACCCAGCAAAAGGTGTTAGCTAGGTAGATTCACACTGGTTTCGATCGTTCACACACGAAGAGATCATAGAACAGGACGTATCCGGAATGGTCCATCCACGACCATTCGCCACCACTTGTCTTTGTCTAGCGGTCTTTCGATGGGTGCCGGTACCGGCTTGTGAAGAACCTTGATGGAGTGGAATGCCACCCCTCTACTTCGGAACGGTCGTTTCGTTTTGCTAAAGTACCATGGTGGCTGGGAATGGACTGATTGCATTACCTGCGGTACTGCTTAATGAGTTTTTCAACTAACACAAGAAACAC